AATTAATAATTAATACCATCCATTAGGTATAGACATTTACAGTAATAATAGATCCCACTTGTAAGATTAGGGTAGCCAGTTGGTGTTGAAAGTTGAAACACCCCTATTGGTCATATTTATGCAAACAAATGTATATAGGTATTAGGTAGGTACTGTATAATTCAGATTTCTACAAAATATGATGTCATTATGGGCGCAAATAGGGGGCTAGGGGGGGAGCTTAGCCTCCCTAGAATTTTTATAGCCCCCCAAAAACGAACGATTTCTCTACTATAATTTACAAGCATTATAAGAATATCAAGTAGTATACCCTGAGCTACAGCCACCCAAAATTGCAAACACTATTTACGCCTATGGATGTCATATTGTCATATATGGTTCTATTTCCTATTTGATATTATTAACATGAAAATTGATGACTAAAATGTGGAGTATACTAGTGTACTGTGTATTAGTGTATAAAGCCTCCCAGACGTTATATTAAAATATAAAATTAAAACACTCTCCTAAAAAAATTCTGGTTAAGCGCTTGAGTGTGGATATTACCTACCCAGTGTGCACCACGAGGAGGTAAAAATATATAAAAGAAAATAATGTATGTATACATGTATAAAACATTTTATAATACTCGTCGACGCCAACCGTCTACGGTACTTCGGTGCTTATAACTTATAAGTTATATTACCGATAAAAAACGACGATACTATGTTTTTCCACAACTCATCAGTCGTCATCCGTAAATCCATTCTATATTATGATCATATTCTATAATCCCACATTTAGAATGTGCCGATGTGTCAACTGTCAATTACGTAAAAACATTTATTCACACAAAAAATGTAAAATAGGTACCTACTCATTTACTAAAATACGACAACCTGACCTAACGTCGAAATCGAGATTGAGATGTGACTGGCAAGGCCGGATCAAGCGAAAATAATGTAGGTACTAGGCAATATCAAATTGTTCTGCTCCTAAAATAAATATATTATCACTGTTTCTAAAATGCTATCTTCCTACTGAATTGTCGCTCTAGGGCCGTGCCTAGTTCACCTATACCTTGAGCCGGTCCTGATGACTGGTGTGAATAATACCATGTGGCTACTGGGCACTGGCTATGTGTCTATGTGAATATGTGCCTATGCGCATATGTGACTGACATAGCTAGTGACTCACTGAAACATCACGATCTACACAAAATATTATATATTTAAGTAGTATAGTTTATATGAGTTATCACTTTTACCATCATGGACCACGGTATCATCCAAAGTCCATGGTCGTACATTAAACCATGACTATGGGACTGTATTACATGTTCCACAATTATTCGTTCCAATAGACATTTGTTCCAAAAACTTTTGTTCCAAAAACTTATTGGAACAAATATCCATTGGAACAAATGTAATTTGATAAAGAGAACATTGGAACAAATGTTTTTGTAGCATAAATCCTTTGGAACAAATATCATTGGAATAAATGCTTATTGGATTTTGACAAAATATATCGGAACAGATATGGCTTGCAAAAAAGTTCATTGGAACAAATGTACAAGTGACAATTTCGGAATAAACCATTTGTTCCAAAAATAATATATTCCCAATAAATATTTTTTCCCTGCTTTGTAGTTTGTTGATTTGTATTTGGTTCCCATTTCCCGAGCAATGGCGAGCATTGGCATTTGGCGCACGCATAGATATTATATGAATAAAATAGTAGTAATATAACAGCATTGATTATACCACAGTCGAGTTTCGAGTAGGTACACGTGAATAATAATTTTAAATTACCACAAAATATCCAACTAAAATCGTTTTTCTATGTTTAAATGTTATGTCATTCGTCCAAATTTGAACTTAAGGGGCCTTGCACGTGGGTAGAACACGATTCCGTACGGCCCTTATCAGCGTACGGAATCGTACACATTTTAAGACACTCGATTCCGTACGTTTTGTACCCAAGAGTTTAGCGCAATGTTGCCAGATTTTCATAAGGTTACGTAGGTATTTGACTATTTGACTTAGTTATAGCGTTTTACGTACGTTTCACGTATACTTAAATATAAGTAAGGGTCCAAACATGAAACAGATGATTATATTTTCCCGGCTATATAGGTAGGTACTTAACTTACCTATTAGATAAGTTTTTGTTGTATCCAGGGCCGTAGGTATTTAGAAATGATGTGCCCCGGGGCACTAATTAAATTCCGCCCCTCCTTTTGGTGGAATATGTGGATGTCCAGTGTTAAAAAAAACGTATAAACACACAGTTTTTTTTATAGTTATTTTATGTTCATATTTGGACGAAATTACATATAAAATAACCAAAAAAAACGATTTTAGTTATTATTTGTTGTAATTTTATAATAATATTAATTGAACTCACCGGCTACCGTATTTGTAATAACTAATAACTAATAAGTAATAACAAATTTAAATATAATATCAAATATCCCACATGACAACCCGTCCCAGCTCAGAATCGTTTTTCGTGTACAATGATATTATATCATTGAATTCAAATTTAATACCATCCATTAAACAGTGACCCACTTGTAACCTACTGTACAGCAGAGCGACATCCACTTACCCACCTTTTTAAACATGTATTTAATATGAGTTAAGAACGAATGTGCAAGAAGAAAATTCAAATCATTCTTTTATAAGTTATGTCCTTCCATAAAGCTTTCGATTTTCTGTTTTACGCATTTGCATAACGTTGCGGTTTACCATGGCGCCATGCACCACGCTTACTAATTTAATTTTATATTATATTATAATATTTAATTATATTATTAATATTAATTTTTATTAACAATTTTAAACACATTACACATTTATTATTAATAATTATTATATTATAGAGAAAGTATAAGTAGGTATAATATATAATCATAATATATGCATGATATTATTTGTTTGAAACTACAATAAAAAACTAAAATAGATACAATGATAACAATTTTTTCTTCTTGCCCGTTTCATAGCAAATGTTTGGAAATCTTCACCAAACCACACAATACATAAGGAAAAAAATATTTTATATAATTTCAAAATTATAACCATATGTTAGCTTAATACATAAACAAAATTCGTGAAAATTTACCGCCCCCCCAAGTTCCACCAGGAGAGGCAATGGCCCACCCTGGCCCTCCCCTAAATACGGGCCTGGTTGTATCATAAGATAAATTCAAGCATGTCGATTTCATTTAGGGCAGTGTTGGTGGCGGAAAGTAATTTATTATGCTTAAAATATATCATAAATATACACATAATACAATTATAAATTTAAACGTATTAACTTTACAGATAAATTCTGATCAGCAACTCCGAGCAGCATATACAAACGACGGCGTATTAGGAAATTGGTTAAAACTATTTTTCGGGTTGCCATTCCTACCACCACATGAGATCGAAAATGCATTTGTTGAACTTGTATCTATATGTCAAAATATAGATATAGGATGCTTATTTTCTGATTATATATTACATATATGTAATACGTATACGTACGTAGAAGATGATTGTATATTTCCACCAAAAATTTGGCCTCAAGAGCCATCAGAAAATCCTCGGTAATACTATAATAACTATACACAGGGTGTAATAACTAAAACCTAACTTGTTTTCTTATATTATTTTATTATTGTTAGTACAACCATTGATTATACATAGTATATACCTAACCATATTATATACTATGTATAATCAATGGTACAACAAATGGATTGGAGAGTTTCCAATGTTTCCATAGAACATATTAAAATGCGCAGTTTCATAGTCCACACCTTTCTTATTCATTTGGTTATATCAATATATCAGTTCTGAAACAAACACAATAGAAGAGACCTGCACAAAAATGAGATCAGCATCTAAAGGGCGTATCAATAAAATGGCCTTATAGCTGACAAACAACGTTTAGACCACACAATTAATGAATATGAAAAATATTTGATTCATACAAATATAATAAAATATTTGTCAAGTATTTGTAACAAATACTAAGGTATTAAACTATAATTATTTTTTTTACATTTTTACAATTTTACAATTTTTTTTATATTTTAAACAAATTGACAATAAATATTAAATGGAAACATTGCACAGAAAATCGTACGTAATCGTGTTATTTTTGGAGTCATTACTCATTTTGACAATCTATTGTTTGATCAAAATCGTACGGAATCGTGTTGCCAAAAAGGTAAACGTACGGAATCGTACTTTACCGTTGCACGTGACCTGTTTTTTTGCTTTTTGCTCAAAACATGCCTTACAGGAAAAACTCACCCCTCGTAGAATGATCGGATTTTGATAATTTTTTTTTTTTGAAAGGAACACTTCTTACAGGGCACTTTTGACTAGGATTATCAAAATTCGTTTTCTAAACCATATAACACGATGTTGAATATGACAAATTTTCACAAACTTAGCCATAAAAATGTATAAAATGTTAATTTTGTATACCTAAAAATCAGAGATTGCGCTAAAGAAATGTCAGTTGCCCATCCCGTTTGTTTTACAGAAGTCAAAAAAATTTGTCGCTTATATATTATTTACCATCAAGGGGATTTAGTTTACAAGGGTACTAATTGATTCATGGAGATTTAACTAATCCCGGGGATCTAGATAACCATGGGGATCTTGTTGACCGAGGATCTAGGTGATAGGCCACCACTATTATAGACGGTACCTTTTATTTTTAATCGTGAGTGCACGGTTAGGTTAGAAACATCGAGATAGATAAACAATATTATTAGACATTACTACATTACTATTTACTACATTAGTATTGTTTATCTATCTCGATGAGGAAAAGTAACATTAGTTATGACTTCAGAACCAAGTCCATTTACTCGTCAGACTTGACTACCAGTTAAAAAGTATGACAGGTAAGAGCGAAAAAAATATCAATATAAATAATAGAAAGCTAATTTATAATCTTTTTATAATATAAACACCTATATAGTATATTGTAGGTAATATAAAGTTATAAAAATAAAACTAATAATTTTCGTAGTTTATTATTTGTCCTCTACATAAAGGGCAAACATCGTACATCTCTTGCCTCATTCTCCTAATGCAGGTTCTACAAAATGTGTGGTTGCATGGTCTTAAAGTGACTGCCACAACCTCATCAAAACAAATTGTGCACAACTCCAGTACTAAAAAAACAAAATAAATATTATAATGAAATCAATAAAAATTAAGAGCAAATAAGTATAAGTATGCATAGTTTGTATGTTAAAAATATCACAGGATATCTGTAGCATATTACAACTTTTAAAATTTTAATTTTACCACAAAATATAAAAATGTTAAATTCAAATCTAATTTGTATCAAAATTAAAATTGGTGAACAAATTGTTTTAAGTTTGTCACTATTTTTGTGTGCAAAATAAAAAAAAAATAGAACTTAAACAATTGTATACATTTTACAACTTATTTTATGTTGAAAATTACATTTTAGAAACTATAAATAACTTAAACTTATAATTCTTCAAAGTAATTAATAATAATTATTGTACAACGCCAAGCCGCTAAGTCTAAAATCTCCAGATATAGTATTAATATAATGTATAATATATATCATATTCATATTTGATTTTATAAAGAGCAACATTTAAGTATAAGTAGTTTAATAGTACAACAAAACTCTTTGCATTAAATTAATAAAACAAAATTATTACTTTCTTGTTCAGGGGATCTCGATCTTGCTCTTGCTTCACGGGATCTCGATCTTGCATCACGGGCATCTCGGTCTGCAAAGAATTCAGGAAAGGCTTCTTCCATATTCCTTGCCCTTTGGCGACCACGGTTTTGAGGTTCATGAGGACCTGAAAATATTGAATTCGAGTCATAAAAATTTACAATGGCCATTAACTAAGTCTAGTGCATAGTAAGTGATATTTTTGGTTTTAAAGAAACTAGAAAGTGTTGTACTCATTTTATATGTCTAATATTTAATTAAATAGATAGTTGTTTGAAATATATTCTGTATTTATATGAAATGTGAACTTACAGATACCTAATAGTTTTTTTTTATAAAATGTCACTTACAGTGGCATAATTGGTGTGGCAAGTGTAACATTTGGCATTTGTTAACACCAAAACATTGTTAGGTGTTGCAAAAGTATTGTTTTGCAAGTTGCAACACCATAAAATGGTTACTTTACATTTAATGTAAACCAAATTATGCCACTGGTGGTACTACACTTGCGCTCTAGCTAGACTATCAGTGTGATACATTTTAGATTTGTACCTCTCAAATAGGGTTGACCTCTTCTTTGGCGAATCCTACGTCTAGCTCTAACTTCAGCTGGTTGAATTCCTGGAGCCTGTTCAACTAGTGGAGGTTGGTTGATAGGTGGAATTGGCAATAGTGGTGGTTGGACTGCTGGGAGTACAGCTAACGGTAGTGGACGTAGTGGCGGCTGGACTGCTGGGAGTACAGCTAACGGTAGTGGACGTAGTGGCGGCTGGACTGCTGGGAGTACAGCTAACGGCGGTGGACGTAGTGGACCCAGTGCTAGTTGTCTTATAACTCTTCCTCGAGGGGGTAATGGATTTTCCAAGTTAATATCCAGCACTGCATATTTAATGGTAAGTCTAATTAAGCATCAATCTCATAATAACAATAAAAACAATGGTATGGAGCAAATTATGCCAAAAGGATAAAAAAAAATATAGAAACATTTGAAACTTATTGCTGGCAGTGTATGGATAATCCCCTGACAGAAAAGTTGTCAATTGAAGAAGTGTAATAATTATGGTAAGATGATGAGAATTATAAGGAAGTTAATCGTGGAAAGAAGAAATAAATGGATAGAGCCCCTCATAAGGAACAAACATAACCACCATAATATAATGACAATTTCAGAGGAAACCAGGGAAAAGAATATATTGATGATAAAAAATATGTTGGATATAGGATGGGGTCCTACTAAGAAATGAAGGAAGCTACTCCAGATAGAAAAAAATAAAAAAATATATTATTTTCTTACATCGTTCAAAATTTGGCTCTCCAATTTGGTTCCTTATTATTTGTTCTGGAATATAAGACACATTTCTTAAAAATTCCCTTACATCATAATTTCCAAGCTCTACTAGCCTCCAAGCATTCTTAATAGTTGTGGAACACCTGGTACTATTTGCTGAATAGGTTCCCTGTCTTACCTATGAAGTATGAATTAATAACAAATTAGTAAATGTAAATATTAATTTATTATTCATACAAATCCAAACATTATAATAAATAATGTGTCTGTATGAAATGAAGTGGTAAATAATCATATTTATACCTGCTGTCCATTTACTGCCCTTCTCAAATCATTTCTTGACCTCTCCTCTATTGTTCGTAAGTGATCTAAAAATATTATCCAGTTAAAATTTTGATTACTATTTACTATATTATTTAATTATAATGTATTTTAGATTTCAACTAACCATAGAACTGATAGAGGGATGGATGTTGACCCATCAATCTTAGCAGTGAACTGTGATAGGATTCAATATAATTATTTGTCCTATGTTGCAGTCCAAAAACAGAAAATCTTCGGGGAGTCACTGTGTCGATCCAGTACCGTTGAAAATACTGCATAATGGCATGTAGTTCTACTTCAAGATGGTACTCAGTTACTATAATATGATAATTAATAATAATAAAAAAAAATTGACCAACATCATACAATTATTTGTAATAATATTATTAACTACAAACCTACTTATTATAGGAACAGTACAAGATAACTTACCCATGTCTTGAACAACACGAAATCCCAATTGAATAGAAAATGCCACACCATGATGCAGTATTTCTTCGGCAGGGAAGTGTGCCAATGACATCAACTGAAATTGTACAGATGCATGTAAGAAAATTATTTTCTATAATAAGTGTATTATGTATTATGAACCATATTTCCCTGTTTCCCTTTCATATGCAAACATATTATAATTAATTATTTACAATTAACATTTTAAATCCAAACTTCTCTAATTAACATGAATATATTATCTGTATGTAACAGTGTAATATTAATATGTTATATTCATGATTAAGTTAAATGCAATTTTATTAATAAATATACTGGCAAAAAATTAAAACTAAATTTACAATTATATAAATTATTATTAATCTTGAAAAATGTTGAATAATTACTATTACCTACTACCAACATCTGTATGTATTTTCATACTTTTATCGATTAGTCAAAATAATAGCTACTTTATTCCAAAATATGTATCAGAACATAACGATTAAAAACGATTTATAACGATTTCTGTATGCATTTTATTTTGTATAGATATGCATATTTAGGATTTTGTACATTTTTAAGACGTTTTCAACCCAATGAATCGAGAATCACAAAAAAATTTTTAGATTTATGAGTACAGTATATTTATGCATTCAGCAGACTGTAAAGTATTGTAAACCGAAAATTTTTGTTCCAAATTCTGAAATACCACACCCTTTTTTTAATAATAATTTAAATAATTATCAGTACAATATGTAAAATATAAATCATCATTTAATTTAAAATAATATATAAGAATTTATTATTGGTTTTTTCTTTTTTCAGAGCATATTTGAAGGCCATATCTTGGGAATTTTTAGTGCATAACTGGATACATATTTAATAGTATTATAGGATATATAATTATCAGCCCTAATTATTACCATTCTTAAGATCCTTCGAGCATTTTCATTTGAAGTACTTAATTGTACTAGCTGATTGCTCCTAATGAAACGGACGATACTCTGGAAAAAATGTTGTATAATTTTATTCTTATACAATATTCAATTATATCTATTTTTAACACTAACTTGGATAAAATGGAACCAACACCCTGAGTTGTTGACTTCGGGCAGTACTCTGTTAATTGCATTTCTTAGCGCTTGTTCAAAATCTGTTATTATTTGAAGATTTTCAAATTCAAGATTTAAATTTAAGTCATGTCTTAAATATTGTAGGACTCTACAATATGACTCTGTTAGTCGATCTACCATTAGGACATGAACTATTGGAATTGCCTATGAAGTGGATAAATTACATACATTGTATAGTTGATTAGTATGTTATTACAATATGCATGGCCTATACTAAACAAAAAAAAATTCAATACTAACCACATTATTCAAAATAATTTGTATTGTGAACAATTGTTCAATATCTGGCGGTTGTCTTGGACGAATTTGGAATGTTCCATCCATGCACAGTGTCCTTACCGTTTGTATATGTACATTCATTTGGTTCAAGAATTCTACGTTTGTGAACACTAACCCAACAAAGCGAATGCTTCCATCATCCCTAAGGATTTCTAGGGAACCTTGAAAAAATGACTCATCAGTTGACCCATTGACATATAAGAGTCTCGCCCCAAACTCTTCTGAATTTATGATATCGGACCAATCACTCAACAATTGTGGTATAGAAGGATTCACTCTACTTCTTGCTCTGTGAATCGACCTAACTGCAGCTGGGCGTCCAATTTCCATTGCTATTAAAATGGTTTATTTGTGTTAAATAGATAGATCAAATATAATTTTATTCATACATCAAATTATATCTTATTTTAAATAGCTTACAGGTGAGCTTCTTGATCCACTATTATATGTGGTGGAATGTTTTCTGTCACTCCTCTTTCTCGTACCCTATTTAAAAACTGTCTTAGCCCGATCGTATAACGTGGGGTTGGTGTATGGTCGTGTGTATATGCAGAAGAAATTGTAATTGGAGCGTTGTCGTATGTTGGCATTTGAGCAGAGACCGGACAGCTATAGCGTCTTCTCTGACATCTCAAATATCTTAATTATTAAAATATTAAATAAATAAATAGTTTATATTTTTATTTTAACTTATAACATCTAAATATTTTACACAAATTCTTTAACTAAGAAAATTAAGTGATAATATGCAAACATAAGTAAATTATTGTATAAATTATATTTAAACATTTGATATAATTCATATTAACCTATACCTACCTTGTTAATAATAGCAGCCCTACAAAAAGTAATATGTGATATTTTAATTCATGAATAAAATAAAATGTTCATTGAAATGTTCTAGAATATTGTTTTTTAGTAAAAGTTGTAGACAGTTGATTAGATACTTATATGAAAAAATAATTCGATGAATTTGAATTTCAAATAGTTATAAAATAAAACTGTGAATGTCTTTTCTATATTTTTAAATTGCAGCAAGAACATAGTGTACACCACTTCAAGCTTTAGGAATTTAAATTGAACATTTTATTAGTTTTTAAGAACAAAATAATTTTTAACTTTTCGAGATATTGTTTTATAGGTATATTGAATACCTATTAGTATTATAAAATTTATCTTAATTACTGATGTACCTACCAGTAATACTCAAATACTTTTTAGAAGTATTTGAAATACTCTTCAAATACAAAAAAAAAGGTGGGTAAGTGGATGTCGCTCTGCTGTACAGTAGGTTACAAGTGGGTCACTGTTTAATGGATGGTATTAAATTTGAATTCAATGATATAATATCATTGTATACGAAAAACGATTCTGAGCTGGGACGGTTTGTCATGTGGGATATTTGATATTATATTTGAATTTGTTATTACTAATTATAAATACGGTAGCCGTTAAGTTGAATTAATATTATTATACAATTACAACAAAATAACTAAAACCGTTTTTCTTGGTTATTTTATATATTATAATTTAGTCCAAATATGAACATAAAATAACTATTAAAAAAAGCTATGTGTATATTTTTGAGATTTTTTGGTTACAGAATATCCTACTAATGTGGTACCTAGTTTTTAATTTTCAATCCTTAGCTATGAAAGTTGAAAATGTTATCAATTATTAACTACTGAATAACTTGTACATTTTCAACTTGATAAATTTAATAAAAATTCGAACTTTAAATGCTTATAAAAAAAAATATATTTTTAATATTAATTTTCAACTGCTACCTATTGTCACAATATATCAGGAGTAATATATTAAATTTTTACGCTTTTTGGGCCTACAAATTAAATTTTATTGATATTTATAGACAAAATCTAAATATTTTATGATAATAATCGTGTATGGGACACTCGTATCGCTTGTAATGGGTTGAATTTTATTGAAAATTTTTTGTAGAGCCCGCAAAAACATTTAGCACAGGGGCCCAAAAATTGATGTGGAGGACCCACTAATATATAATAATTAAAATTAATGGACATTTCAAGTCATCTAGTTAATTTATTTTTGAATTACAACAAATACACAAATTCGATTTATATTTTAAAAATTTACCGAATTTCCCTGTTTATTGAATGTTGGTAATAAGCATATCCCAGATTATCAACGTACACAGTTGATCGCCCTCGCAATCCAGGAATTTGTCTTGAAAAAAACGGTACATTGTCATGAGGTAGTTCGTTTATATTTTGATCAACCGGATTCATTATAAAAAGTTTTAAATGTAGCAGAAGTCTATTGGTCGACTGTTTGACTGACTGTATCCAGATAACTTTAGTCGGTAACTGATGTAAGTTTTCCGTTTTCACTAGTGACTGGTTTAGTCGTTTAGTGTTTAGTACTGTTTACTCGTCCACGGACCATCTCTACAATATTTTTTGATACAAGATTGTTTGGACGGTGATATTATGCGGGCCAAAGCCCGAATTTCTCGTAGAAGCCATGAGATATACACCTAATATGTTGTAGGAAATAGTGAATAGCCAATTTAGAGTTATTTTATGTATATAGTAACTAAAACCAATGCCATAATATTATATCTATATTCTATAATACAATTACACTTCACTATAATTATTATAGTATTATATATATATATATAGGTAATTCGATAATAGAACATTGTTTAATGTACCTACTTTACTGAAAAATTATACAGATTGTACTTTTTCCAAGATATAATAACTATTGATGTAATGATGTTAAGGGGTATGCATACCGACCGTTTCTAAGGAGTTCAATATAGGCAATTTTATATTTGTGTCTGCGGGTCGTGTAAATGTGTGCATAGTAAGTGATCATTAGTGTGAGTGACTGTGTATAAAATAAATAGTTTAGCACACCCGCACGTGCACGCACATGTCAGTAACGCTACATTTTACACTCTAATTACAAATGCGAATTTTAGTGAAACACTGAAACTTAGTTTCGTATTTCCAATAATATACCTAGCTTACTGAGTGACATTCCATGGAATGCAGTATGAACACCTATTATACAAATTGAAGAGAAGAAGTTGATCTAGGTTTGTATAGAAGTCGATTTTCGATATTTTATTTTCAAGGTCCAATATTTAACTCTAAAACTTGTGATATTTTACTTATTGAATTTGAATTATTGAGCTTAGTAATTAAAGTAGGTATCGAAAATTGACTTGTATACAGACATAGATTAACTTCTCTTCTACAATATTGATAATTGGTTTATTTACTCTCAAACAGCTTAATAAACCATATTATTGGAAATACAATAGTAACATTTTCATAGATTTTTTCAATACTATTCATACCCCTTAACTGTTAATAATTAAGATATTTCATACTTAAGAGGACACCACACCTGCATGCGTTGTCTCCGTCTTACAAATGTACAACATAGTAAAAACTGTTTTGCGCGGGACAACTTTACTCCCTCTGTATTTATAGCAGAATTATCAAAATTCTACAATGCATAAGGAAGAACTTTATCTGTGTCGTAGCGTTTGTATTTCTTTTATAGCATTTACCAACTATTTTTAATAATTAAATGAATAAAACAAAAAAATCCTAATGTTCTCAAAGTGATAACTTTAATTGTATTTATGTTATTCAAATAATAAAAACGCTACGACACAGATAAAATTCATCCCTATGCGTTGTGGAATTTTGGTAATTCTGCTATAAATATTAAATACAGAGGGAGTAAAGTTGCCCCGCGCAAAACAGTTTTTACTATGTTTTACATTTGTAAGACGGAGACAACGCATGCGAGTGTGGCGTCCTCTTAATGAACATTATTCATTTGATTACAGGGAATTTAATTTAAAATTATTTTAATAATATTGGATGTGTACAGTCAAGGACGCTCGCCGAAATATAAACTGATGGTGGGTAAAAATCTCCCATAATACAGCACATATCCTATTTTTTAAATTTTTTACATGAGATAAAACAATTCATATTACGTAACTAAAAAAGCTGGTGGCGTGCACCCGGCACCCCTTGCGGGCGCTCATCTATACAATAGGTACCTATAGACTTTATAGGCTTAATATATACATAATTTAAATCCTCGTGCGTTGCCTGATGTCTCCGACTTGCAAACGTACAATATTATTAGCCATACGGTATTACAGTACGTCAGTACCTATATATTACCTATGCTAAAAAGTTTTAATTATAAAACAGTTACGACACAAGGCGGGTTAGCATTATTTTTCGGCCCGGAAAATATGAATCAAAACGGCCAATTGAATTCATTAGGTATATTGCTAAAAATTACATTTAAAAATGTCGTGTGTATAAAATATAATAATATAGTTTAAAAGTTTCAAGTACCTACTCACGAATAATATTTTTAAATTACAAAAAAATAACTAAAACTGTAATTCTTGGTTTTAATTTGGTATAATTTCATACAAATTTTAACTTAAAATGTATAGATATACAAAAAAAAACTGTGTTAGTTTCAATATGAACTAACATAAAAGAATCCTTGTTTTAAATTTTTAACCCTTATATCCATACAAATTGAACGTTTTATAGTATTTAATTAGATTATAATATTTGAGAATTTGATAAATTATGTCAAAATTTGAATTTTAAATACATATGGATTTTTAATATATTTCTCAACTGCTAATTATAAGTTATAACTATACTTATGAGGAACCTTGTAATACATTTTTAAACTTTTAGAATAAAAAAAAAAACTAAACATCTCAAAATTCTATAAATACCTTTCAAAACAAGTGATTAGTGAAAATATTTTGAACAACTTTTCATGAGGACCGTTGTGTTACATTTTGAAGTTTGATCAAGCAAACATTTTTTTATTGACAATAATTAAAAAAGACTAATAAAACTTGAAATTGTGTTATGCCTATAAATATCTCAAAAAGGTTCGATATATTTCGAAAATTGTATGGTGCATAGAAATGTTATGCTGCTAATATAAACATACAGTGAACATTTCATGTATCCACGGTTATTTTTTTTTTTAGTTAGGTTAACTAAAAAACATAATCGATTTTTTTCAAAAACTGGATTTGCGTAAAAATATCAGTTTTTTGTACCCACCAAAGTACCAACTAAATTCTATATTTGGTTGAAGAATATCAAAGCATTTTTGTTGTTCTAAAAGGTGATGATAGACACAAATAAAAATAATAATAAAACAAAAATCAATGTAAAATCATTGTAAAATCAATACATTCATCCCTCCCAGGGGCGATCCTAGAATTTATTTTTAAGGGGGTTTAGAGTGAATATTACTGACTTACTTATAAATCTACCGACTGTAAACGAAATGTTATAATAATTTTATTTTCTTATAGTAGTAATTAGGGATCAAATAGTTATCAAATTGCTTTTTTTTTTTTGTAAACGTAGACAAACTATTATGAGGAATATTGTATAACATTTTAAAAACATAGATTGAAAAAGAAAAATTTTAATGAATTTCTAACTCAAAATAATTTTCACATTTTCGTGATTTGTATGCCTTTTATAAAAATTCAAACTTTAAGTGATTATAAAAAACAATTGTGACTCTTAATTTTTAATATTTGTCTAATGTCATTGTATATGTCAATATATTAGAAGCCTTTAATATAAAATTTTCAAGCTTTTTTACCCAACATATAACATTTTATTGACATTCATAGAAAAAAACCTAAAAAAGTTAGAAAGTAAGTATATCCGTAAACAGCTCAAAACAAGTAAAAATATTTTGAAAATTTTTTCATTTATAGAAAAGGCTAGTACAATTTCATATACCTACGGTTTAGAGTTACACTAAAAACCAAAATAGTTGTAGGTACCTGAGTCTGAGTGATGTTTATGGGTTTACCACAAATTATCTGCTATGAATAATCTTATGTAGGTACCTATACGGGCTACGGACTACGACCTATCTATGATGTTAATATATACCATAGCAATATTTATTTTTATTCACATTTCATATCTTAAAAGTGATTTTAAAAAATAATTTGCCTTGGTAATTACTAATTAGGTTATATCATGGTAAAATGTTTTGAACAACAAGTTCATATTATTTTTTTTCCAGGGGGGGACAATTGCCCTATCTTGCCCCCCCAATGGGCGCCCATGGTATGTTGTATGCAGTTTACAGATTAATAGATTAATTGTGAAATTGTGAAATCTGCCTGTAAAATAGAATACGGTAAATGGTTTTGTGTTAGGTGCAAATAGGTGGATAACGACTGTGTAATCTCCCCGTGATGTGCAGTACGGCAAAAGCAGTGTCCTCCGAGCGGAACATTCCCGCTTGGATATGTTGTAATTATCGTTGTAAAAAACGAACGTATAAGTAAAACATTTATTATTATTGATGAACATTTGAAATTTTATCATATTAATAAGTAATAACAATATTTATGATATGACACTGACAATTGACAGTATTATATTGTTATACCTACCTACATAGTTTGATTAATATAATACCCTACTATACATGGTATAAAAGACACGGTATGTTATTGGATTAGACAGTGACATAATATTATAATAAATTGTTAATTTCTGTTAAATATTTCGTTTATTTAGTTTTGTTATATATATTTAGTTATGACTTATGAGTTATGTAGTTTTGTGGCGTAGTAATAAAATTACTAGTGACTTTTGAAATTAATAAATTCTTTATTCTTGTGTAGTTGCAGTATGAGTTCTAATTTTAACCAAGTGTAGGTATATATTAATTCATAATCAGACCTTGTGAAAAATATTTTTTTACTATACAAGTATAGATACGTATTTTGAAAAGTATGCGTAAAATATGCGGTATTTAAGTATAATTAAAAAGTATTTGAATACTTTTGCTCAAGTACATTATAAGATTGTATCATAGATGATCTGAGTCCCAAACCTTGAATTTTGTATTTCGATTTATAGTTATTAAAATACAACTATAGAAATCTTAACTTCTTCAATATTGGTCGTATCGACTTGAAGTCTTCAAGATTCAACGCAGTCACACCTAAAGATCTAATATAGAATTTAAAAATGTCACATATACAATAAGAAAATTGATAAAATAAAATTGTCAGTTTTTAAAAACTAAAACTTTTTTATATAATTTTCAAAGGTTTACGATTTGATATAAAAAAAACAATTTTTAATCGCAGTAAAATTGCCTATACAAAACTCCTTTAAAACTAGGCATAATGATATACGAAGTGTGTTGACTATTTTAGTCCAATACGTCATAATAAAGAAGCATCTACATTATTATATTATACTAAAAAAAACATTTAATTGTATTCCATAAACTAATAAATTATAAAATAAACTAATACATTTATTATTATAAATATTACAATTTGTATTTTATATTTTATAATATAAACCTCTTGTAGTCTTGTTTGATATTTTAAAAATTACTAATATGATTGATTATATATTACTAATTACTAATATTTACTAGTAATTATTGAGATAAAATAAAAACACATTGGAATATTGCATTAATTGCATTACCTGCATTAATTGCCATTTTGGCATTCAAAAATGTAGGCTCAGTTATAATACATAGACGGATGTATTATAAATATATGTGATATACATTATACAATATACATATCTAATTGTCATGATATAAGTTACTGATAGTATGGGTAACACTGTAACAGTGGGAAAGTGGTTTTAGTTCTGACAATGGGCAAAAATGCTGTCTTAAGCATTACAATAAATTACACAAAATAAATACCTGCGTCTTAGACTATGTATAATAATTATTATTAATGATAAATATCACAATGACAAAAATATAAGAGTATTAGTAAAATTAAACATAAATCAACATTTAGTTTACTTCATAGAAAATTAATTCTAATTTTAAGAATAATTATTTAGGTAGTTAATGATATACATCATATTATTATGTTTATAATACCTACTTTATATTAATAGTAATAAATAAATTATTATGATTTGTTTAAACTTCTTATAGTTATAACTTATAAGTTATAACTAAATGTTGACTTATTGACTACTGTAATGTAGGTACTGCTTAAATTCACAAATAATGTCTATATTGTTAATATTCAGATATTGACATTTATAATTACCTAATTAGATAGTTTCATACTATACGTCTATACCTACATGCTACATGGTATTATACTACATTACTACATGCACATACGATACACAGTTAAAAGAACAATAATTAAGAGGGTAGTACGTACCTTTATTATTATTTACTATTACTACCTACCTAATACCTATATAATATGGCATACCGCATACGCAAATACACAATAACATTTTCAAAAACTTCAAATTAATTTTAAACTTTCTATAACATGAACCTATTCTCAGAATTCTACACTTCTCACTTCTCAGTACAATTTATAGTAGTAGGTATAGTACATATCAGTATTGACCACTGACTAAGATAGTCAATACATCTATATTGATAAGTCCAGGGGTGGCTCCAGAGTCTTGGTTGGGAGGGGGCCAAGTTATAATTTCACAAGACTTTTTAACAAAAAGAAAACAACAATTTTTATAACACAAATTCAAGTCGTCTATTTTTAGAATTGGCAAAATTATCAATAATATGGTCTATTTGATCTAGAAGATCTATTTTATTATGTACATTAATTAGACATAATGATGATAGTCTATCTTCAGTCATCCTTGAACGAAGCCAGGTTTTAAGTCTCCGAAGTGTGGAGAAACTCCTTTCAGCAGAGGCCACACTAACTGGTAGAGTTGCTAATACTGCAATAATTTCCTAATAGTTGAAAACATATCTTCATCACAGTGCATGTATGATTCCAAAGCTGTACATGGACGTTCTGTAATCGGTTGATGTTTCCATTTGTGAAGCCATAGACAAATTTCACCTATAATAAATAATAGAAGTTATGTCACGTCAATCCTACTTACTATTAATAATTATAATTAAATTGTATTATTCAAAAATTATAATAGTACCTTCTAACATATCAACCATTACATTTTCGGAAACAGTGAAAAGAGGTGAAAACTTTTTTGCTACTGCAATGATTCTCTTAGATATTTTTTGTTGGTCCCAACCATCATTGTCATTTAGTTTAACAATAATATTTGGTATAAGTAAACGCAAATCAAATGCTTCCAATGTCTTTGTTGATAACCTGTTGGTTATATCTGATTTAATAGTGTCCAATAATGGAACATAAGTGCTACGCAAGTAAAATTGTTCAGCGTCTGTTGCAGGGTAGTTATCACGATGTATTTGAGTTTTTGCAATTCTTGGCATTTTAATATCACATCCAATTTCTTCTGCTAAACTACTAAGTACTAGCGTTCAAGAAAATGGTATGAAATTCACCAACACACATTGTTCGTTTTTCTTGAAATATTTCCTTAACTCTTTCTATTGCAGAAGAAGCATTAGCTAAATCTAAAGATGGTGATTGTAGAAGTCTAGATACAGGCAGGGTTAATTTTAAAATATCAGCAGTTGATAAAAGCGAAATTATAAAATCACTGTTGCTTATAGCTGCTAATAATATAGATGCTTTTGAAGATGAGTTTCGATCAGCCCACTTGGAAATTGCTGTAAGCGCTTCAATAACCTGTAACAAATTATAATTTTAAATAAAATTATTAAAATGTGCTAAATACTATATTTTATATAAAACTTTACTTCATAAGAAAATATTTACCTTTGGAAGAGCAGATTTAAATTGTAGAACACCATCATGCATCTCTACCCATCTTGTTTGACACAGTCCTGTCAGTTGTTTTGCAGAAATATTCTCCAATACCAAATGCCTTTTTGCTGAGGCATTAAAAAATGCAATTATTTCTTTTAGAGTTCCTATTGTATTTCTTATGGGTACAATTTTAGAAGTCTGTGCCAACGAATTATTCAATGCATGGTTAAAGCAAGGACAGTAAACTGCAATAGAACACTCTTTTTTTATTGTAGTAACTGCTCCATAATCTTCAGACACCATTACAGCACAACCATCCGTTGCCACTCCAACACAACATTTTAAAATTTTAAATCAAGTGCCAAATTTTTAGCTAAAATATCTAAAACAATGTGACCAAGAGCCTGTCCAGTAAGTTTGGTTTCTCCAGAACCTGATATATCTATTGACCTTATAGACCTATAAAGCATCCACAAAACACACAAGATATATACCATCATACCTCTACATAACTTGTGCGTATGATAGTCGATATTATAATAATATGCTATTTTTGTTTGTAATTTTTTTTTTAACAACATATTATATTTTTTTATAAATATGGGCTGGGAGGGGGCCTCGGCCCCTAGCCCCCCCCCCCCTTGAAGCCGCCCCTGGATAAGTCTAAGTCCATGGTAGTATTGCAGGCGGTATAAACCTATAGTACCTATTATTATTTATTTGTTATAAGTAGGTTTTTTTTTTCTATGAGTAATGAGTATACTGATATAGGTACCTAATATTTTAATAATTATAATAGGTACTGACATAAATATAAAATAAAAATATATCCTTATAATCAGTGGCGTATTTTGAAATTTTTTCTGGGGGGGGTCTAAATATTAGGTACCTACAAGTTTATAATAAAAAAAAAAAACACATACGAGTTACGATGTAATAATTATATTATATTATATTTTTTTCTGGGGGGGGGTCCAGACCCGGGGACCCCCCCCCCCCCGTAAATACGCCACTGCTTATAATTGTATTTATAAATATAGGCTGACCGAGCGGAGACAGGGTCGGATTTTATTTTCTGTATACACACGGACTATATTTCATATTATAGTCTGGCGTAACTAGGGGGGAGGTTCGGAGGGCAGCCACCCTAACTGTAAGGTCTAGTAAAGCCCATGGCCTATGGCTATGCTACCAATAAGTAATAAAATAACTATCAAATCAAATTGAATAATATAATATGTATATATTCAGTACATGGTTATAACTTATAACTGATAAAGCATGAACAGAAAATTCACACCAATATAATTTCGAGGCTTTAAGAATTTGTCTTTTTTTTATTATTATTCCCGCCTAGTGGTATTTTTTTATATTTTTGCAAATTATTTCTCTTATCAGATCTGCCCCAAGTTGCAACCACAGACTATGAAATAATATATAATATAAGCTGTGGTATGAGTGATATGCCCCTATCTTTCTGGCGTTTTACGTTCTGGTCTTTCTATTTTCAGGTAAAATATTTTATGCAACATTTTTTTATGGATCATAGCGTTCTGTAAAATTGTGTTCTATTATATTCCATTCTGGAATTATACACCCAGCGGAATGAATATGTGAAGTGTTTGAGCTTTCGCAATAAGCTAAATAAAATTTGATTTTTATATTATTATATTATTATTATCATCTCTATTTTAGACCTATATACAAAATAATAATATTATGTGGACCATACACCTACACATTATATTATTAATTTTTATTATATATTATACGGACTAGATTCAACTAAAAATTGAATTGGACTTTTTTATGCATACAAAAACATTACATTCGCCCTCTCCATTGACCCATAAATCCCCTTATTTGTTTCTTTGGTACTACCCCCACATTGCATTTAAATATATTATTATTACTCATGACCTCCTCCCTCCATTGGAATTTCCTGGGCACACCACTGTTGTTTTAATTGTTTTTTTTGTGGAGTGAGGAGGTACTAGGTACCTAAAATACTGAATAGATTGTATGAATAAGCCCTCCTTGAGATTACCTAGCCGTAAGCACAAATCTACACAATATATCATATCAATTATAAACAGTTATACCTCAGTAGCTTATAACTTATAAGTTTAAAGTGTAAGGTTTATGCATAAATAAAAAATGCAATTCAAATGTTTTTCCACGCAATTATTTTCTAAATATTCTTTACTCCAAGACCCCTATGTGCAAATGAATATTTGTTCCAAATGTTTTGTATAATAAATCCTGTGGAACAAATAAATTATGTAACTAACGTTCATCGGAACAATTAATGTAAATGTGAAAAGATATAATTGGATGAAATTTATATGGAAAAAATGTTCATTGGAACAAATGTCTTTCGACAAATAGGTATTGGAACAAATGTATATAGGAACAAAAGTAAAATTTGGAAGTTAATATCATTGGAATAAGTTGACTTGGAACAAAAAATTGTGGAACATAAGGTAGTGATCCATGACTATACCACAGATATAAAATACTTTAATATATAAAATATTTTATATCTGTGGACTATACAGTATACCCACTTTCAATAACAGTCCATATTATAATATTACGACTTGGTTACTTTAATAAGAACTTAATTTTGTTTTTGAAAATATTAGCTAACTCAGCTTTTAATTATTATACACAGTATTAAAATGTATTTTTACGAATAACATAGTATAATATGGTTACCTATAATAGTGTATACCATTATACCACGGAATCGCCAATAAAATGTTAAAAATTATAAATTATTAGATCGGTGCTGTTGGTGGATGACTTTTCCAAATCGTTTCGCGCGCAACGTTCGGGGAGTGTCCGCTAGAGAGAGCTCGCGACCTGCGTCTGCGTGCGCCGCTCCAAAAATCTTCTGGTCTCTCATCCGGGCGGCACACCGGTGTGTCGTGCGTGTTTGTTTTTGTTGTTTGTTGTGGCACAGTGTTCCGACGAACGCGTCGCTGATCGTAGTCTCGTGATTCCTCGTCGCCGTCATGTTAAAACCTTTTTTTTCTTCGTTTCATCCTCGATTCTCCGTGGCATTTTAGTCACTTTTTAGTTTTTACACCGACTCTTATCGCCGTTTACTTTGTTATTTTTTCGTTATTATATTTTGTTTAATGCTCATACATTTTACATATGAAACATATATAATATACATTTCGCTCACACATTTCGTATTAAACGTCCGTCGTACACTCGCACACGGTATAGACAGTGTGGATCAGCCGAATGCGAATTGTCAAAAAAATCGTCGAAGATCAAAACAGACTACACCAAACCGTATATCTAGCACTCAGCAGCACCTTTCGGTCGAGGAATTTAAATGCTGGGCGATTGATCACAAGGTATTAGATTTTATAATATTATAATTTATAGCATAGGTATAAAAATACATAGGTATTACTATATTAGCATTTAGCATACATTACTACGCTGAATCTGCACGATATTATCAACGATTTTATGCTGTGTACCTCTCCCAGTTTCATATTGTATTTCACACACATGTTGTAAACTCGTAACGCCGCCAGTCCTAATGCCTAAAATGGCCTTGTTTATAAAATACCTGGTATATTATACTTAGAATAAAAGGTACCGCCGCATTCGCAGCCCTCTTTGAAAAATCGTCTCCAATCGCAGTCTTCACTCTAATATCGGTCAGGCATTGTAATGACGGAGACTACTGTACCTATAGGAACATTTAGTATTTAGGTATATTTATTAGTATAACCATCACCAAAATGATAATATTGCCAGCTGCAGTAGAAATGTCTGGACTAACCGCCAAGTCTACAAAGGTACTCGGGACTCGAGAGTTGAGACTGAAACACCGCTGTCATTGATTTGTAATTATCCGAGAAATAATAGTGCCACACAGTCAGTGAGTATGTGGTTAGTAAATAATTGTCACCGAATATTAAACGGAAAGGGTTGTAGAGTTAATAGTGCAAAACATGCTCGTATAGAAAGTTATCGGTGGAAAACCAATCTGGTATTTTACTTCGATTTCCGTCCTTACGAATTCGGATAGATCTAATTAAAATACAGTAGGTACCTATTTACCATTTTCACATTTCCTCTACTTTTTATAAGAGCGTTTGTCGCTTCTTAATAGATACACAAATTAATTTTAACGACAAATGTTTAGGTAGTACACTTTAGAGATCCGTGATTTTACTTTTAATTACAAGCAATTTTTTTATTCATATGCACATTTTCACTACTTAATCATGTTATAAGTCATTATAATAAAAAACAAAAAAAAAGATCACGAAAAAGATTATTTAAAAAAAAAAATAATTTGTTATTTTGGTAAATATAATATTTTATGAGTCATATTATATTTAACATAAAGGATTTTTTATATGATGACTACAATTGTTATTTTATAAACTTGAAAAGTAAAAAACATTAGGTAAAAATATAAATCTATTTTAAACACGTATTTTCGTCTTTCACAAAAATACTATTTAGTAATTTACATCATAACGTTTGAAGTTTAGTACTGTGTAGTATTATTTTTTAGTATTAATAGTAAGTATTATGACATTATGGATTAATTATTTAAGGTAACTATTTTATGTAATTGGGAATAAAATGTGTTTTGTATGGTTTAAAAATTATCAATTTGAAATGAAAGCTATTCGAATTTTCCACAAATTTAGATTACATTTATCGTTAAAATAACTAATTAGCTAAATATACGTATTATATAAATTTTAACAGGATTTTATCTTGTATCTTTATAAATATTAATCTGCTGCTTTTATGTTTAGTAAGTATTAAAATTAATATTTGGTTCAGAATCTCACGAAGAATGGAAAGTTTTTGACATTATTGTTATTGACAATTATTGTCTTCCAATTATGTATTTGGTGTTTGTCCAAAAAGATATTGTTAATGGTGAGAGTTTAGTTAGAAAACAATTATACTCTAAAAAGTTAGAAAGTGGACATCAAAAATATTTTTATTTTATCACTTATTATCTATAATATAGAATAATCTATAAGTATTTATTATGGAAGATTTATTCGTGTTTGATAACATTCCAAAATTATAAATATAATTGTAAGCTATTCGCCAATGTATATACGTATCTTTTAGACAATTTTACTTTAAAATATTAACAAATACGAATTAATGGTTTAGAAATAAGAATAAAAACAAATAGTCATTATAAATACATTAAGATTCTGATAGTATAAAAAGCAAGTATATTATCCCCAGGTATCTTCTTTAATTGACTAATCTCCGTGTTATAATGTGTTACAATTCGTGATGACTGATGTATTTTGCTATTATTATTTATTATAACCCATTTAAAGTAGCATATAGGGTCCACTCGTTGTACCTAATGCCTTTTCAAAAACTGTTAAGTACATAACAAAATATATAATATTAGTTAATAGTTTGGTTCATTACTAGAAATGGTGTTTAAAGTCTAAAATATTATATTTTTTTCTTGAATAATTTTAGATAATAAAAAATAATAGGTATTAGGTAAATTATCTAAAACTAAATAGAAAGTCATGTGGGATCACGGAAATATGAATTTCATAATATTATTTACACGAGCAATGAACCTTTTTTAGTTTTCTTGCATAATATAAACATTAAACAGTTATATTTATTTTATAATGTTATTCAATTATTTTATTAAATTTATTTACTGTATTAATTTTAATTATAAACATAACCATTTGTATTGTTTTATAATATATATACAGTGTGTAACAGGAAGACCTGAACGAAAAATGATGCTACTTAAACGTATGACAAAAATTGTGAAAATTATATGGTTGATAAAAAATTTAAGAAATATACCGATGTCAGTAAATTTCCAAAAAAAATATTTTGAAATAAGTCATTACGTTCTAAATTCATATTTACTCAAAAAAATATTAATATTTAAAAAAATTCAACTCTACTCAACTTAGATAAATGTTTTTACCTTCAAAATGGTTCTTATAACCATTAATAACATTTTTTTATATTTGATGTGAAGGAAAGTGACTGAATTATATATATATAAAAATTTAAAAATATTGATTAGAACCAAAGTTATTTCATCCGCCAGGTCTTCCTGTTACATTCTGTATATAAATAAGTACCTACTGTTTTAAATATTTATTTTTTATGGAAATTTATTCCAATTGAAACTGTATTTGAAACATTTCGAATTCTTGACATTAAAATCAGTCAACAAATTCAATAATAAATTTTGAGAAGATAGTTTGATGTTGCCACACTTACAAAGAATTTTTAAACATAATTATTAGAGTCGAGAGATATTAAAATAATAGGTATAATAGTACCATACGTGTCAACTCATCATAATATAATTTTTTACTTGTTGTTGTACCTATAATATAATAACAGAATGAAATAATAACCGAATGTACGTGAAATATTCAGCAAATATATTTTTATTAACACTTTACAGACACAATAAAATATTCTAAATATTTTGGATCCTATTGAGTTAATTTAAAAAAAAAAAAAAGGAATAATATTTTGCGTATATAATATGGACTTTTTTTATCGCTGAAAATGATCAGTTTAAGGTATAACGAAATGTGTATAATATTATTTATCATTTATGTGAAATATATATTATAATTAAATGAATATGAATAACAATATTATATTTTTAAGATTTTTCTAAAAAAACACAATTCAGTAAAACCTTTTTTTTTTAAAAAAAAAAGACCATGGAGAACCCAGGTACCTATATCTGTATACTATACTCAGTTATAGTACGTATATATGGATTTGTTGTTACCTACCACTTTTCAATATAAAAATATCTTTTTTTCATCAATTTTCCTACATTCATATTATTTAATATTAACAAAATAATTTACCATATATTATCTATAACCACTTCCTATGCCTATGTTATATAAGTCAAAGGACAAATTATTTGTCACGATATTTTGAATAAATAAATTTAAAAAAAATATTTTTTGTTCTATTTATTTACGATTTTATTGATGTAAAGTCAAACGTTAGTGTTATAGTTTCAATGCTAATAGCTAATAGGTATATATGGAGATGATAAAATATGTTGACTTAGTATTTTTATTTGTAAAAATATGACATCATGAAAAATTATTTAAAGGAAAAGACATGATAATTAAATAAAATAGTTAAACCATAAAGAGAAACCAGCATTTATTTTGTAATTTATTTATTTTATCCGTGTTTTTCATAGACTATAATATATTTATGCGAGCTATATATTATTAATTATTTAGCTTATATTCAGTACTAAATTTATCTTAGGTGGTTAAAACAAATTGTTAAGTCATTTAAGTACATGGTAATTTTATCTAACCTGTTTAGTTTATTATAAAATACCTTAGTAAATAATGCTTTCCTACTTAATACTTGTTGACGCTTGTGCCTTTATAAAATTCATGGTCTTATCAGTTTTTTTTAAAAATAATTAATCATTTTCAAATAATCCTAGTGTTAATAAAAAGATTATATCACTCAATTCATAAATGTTAGCTTAAGGTACATTTTAACAATAATATAGTAAATAAATGTACTATCCGCTAAGCATAAAACATTATAACTATTTTGTTTATGTTTTTTTTTTTTATAACATAATTCGTAAGAAATTTTCAAAATTGTTATTAAAACTAAATATTATTTTATTATTAAGTAAATTTACTAGGAAACTACATGATTAATAAATGTTCAATTTCCATATTTTAACAACATTAGTGAATGGACGACAAAAACAATTTAATTTTTAAAAGACGACCTTTTTAATGCTTGTTAGAATTTTGACGCACTATTCAGCAAACTGTAAACATCTTTCAACTAGTTTTGAAAAACCCCTCCATGTATAATACTTTGTCCAGCGCAAGAACACGCCGATTTTGATAATCCCAACTTGACACCCTGCTATTGAGACTGGATCGGTTCCGCTATCGAAGACTTGGGGATGCGCAAAAGAATCGATTTTCGTCCGCGTTTTCCTCG